CTATCGGTTCCTGAGGACATAGAGAAAGGAGGCACAGAGGGGGAAAGGGTCAGCAAGGAAAGCTGGTCCCGGGCCGTGGGGTTGAGTGGTCCCACCTGGAATGTTTCACTAGAACGAGCCGGAACCTTTGCAGCGAGCAAGCATCCGTACAGGTGGGCCCCATTACAGCGGCCTGGAGAGGGTATTTACAATGCTGTCGGTCAGGCCGCCTCTCCAGATTCTGACTCAGTTGGTCTGACTTACACGTAAGCTTCCTGTTCAGCCAGCTTCCTGAGTCTGATGCTGGTGTCTTTCAACCACAGTATGAAAAACACTGAGCTAAAGAAATGACTCATGAACATTAGATTTTCCTCTTATATATATAAGTGTTGTGTAATTCTAAAACGCAGAAAAACTTGAAGTCACACCAGTCAGGGATATGACTATCAATATATTAAAAAAAATTTTTTTTTAACATTTATTCATTTTTGAGAGACAGAGTATGAGCAGGGGAGGGGCAGACAGAGAGGGAGACACAGAATCCGAAGCAGGCTCCAGGCTCTGAGCTGTCAGCACAGAGCCCGACGCGGGGCTCGAACTCACAAGCTGTGAGGTCATGACCTGAGCTGCAGTCAGATGCTCAACCAACGGAGCCACCCAGGCGCCCCATGAATATCAACATTTTGATGTATATTCTCCCACTTTCCTCTTGTGTGTGTCTCATATATAGATGGGGCCAGAAAGTAGATACATTACTCTGTAGCTTGCGTTTTTTAAAAAATATTTTTATTTATTTCTAGGAGAGAGAGAGAGAGAGAGAGACAGCGTGAGCAGGGGAGGGTCAGAGAGAGAGGGAGAAACAGACTCTGAAAAAGGCTCCAGACTCTGAGCTGGCAGTCAGCACAGAGCCCGACGCAGGGCTCGAACCCACAAACCGCCAGATCATGACCTAAGCGAAAGTCGGATGCTTACCCGACTAAGCCACCCAGGCGCCCCTGTAGCTTGCATTTTGCACTTAACAATATCTCTTACATACCCTTCCATATCGATGAATATAAATTTACATCCTATGTACAGACACTTGTTTTGGGGGGATGGTCTGGGATCTTTCACCTCCTCTTCAACTTGTGTTAGTTAGTCTAGCAAACCCCTACTACCCTTGGATAAAGCCAGAACCTGGGGTTCGTTTCTGAACCTCAGTGCCCTGCATTTAGCTATACTTTATAGAGTCCTGCCTGGGCCAGGAAGTGGGCAGCTCCTGGTTGGTTCTGGGCAGAGGAGCTGCCTTTACTGGCTTTTTGGGCAAATGTTCCAGGACTTTAGAAAGCAGTCAGGGGAGGGGCGCCTGGGTGGCTTAGTCGGTTGAGCGTCTGACTTTCGCTTAGGTCATGATCTCGTGGTTCATGGGTTCGAGCCCCGTGTCGGGCTCTGTGCTGACTGCCAGCTCGGAGCCTGGAGCCTGTTTCGGAGTCTGTGACTCCCTCTCTCTCTGACCCTCCCCTGCTCACACTGTCTCTCTCTCTCTCTCTCCTAGAAAAAAATAAAATATTTTTTTTAAAAATTAAAAAAAAAAAGAAAGCAGTCAGGGGAATTTTCAGCCTCTGACACTAATCCTGAGTGTTTCCGGCTCTAAAGGCACCATCAGTCTGTAGGATCTGGAGCTCTGGGTAACGTGGAATGTCCACGCTGAGTCCCACCCCACCCCCACCCACGGCAGTCCCACCCGGACTGGGTTCAGGAGGATTCACGGAGGGAAACAGGGGGCCAAGTGAAACCAAGCAGCTGCCTTTGAGCTGCAGAGACCTCCCCCGGGGTCTCTCTCCCCCGAGGGCCCCTCTCCCCCGAGGGCCCCCACAACAATGCAAAGTTCAAATCTATGGTTACTTGGAAGCACATTTGGGAACAATCAGGGGGCCCTTGACCTCTGACATGTGACCCCAGGCCTGCCCTGCCTGTCACAGAGACCTGGCTTGAGGCCTTGGAACCAAAGGAAAAAAAAAAATGTGTCGTAGAGGCCTTTTTTTTTTTTTTTGAGAAGAAATGAACTTAAAATACTTAGAATGAACTTAAGTTTCTCTAGTAAACTTAAAAAAAAGGTAATAAGAATAAATGGCTTCAGTCTGAGAGGTAAACAAACAACAAAGCAAATCCTTTAACCTCCTGTCTGAGGCTGTAAAGAGGCTGCGTTTGTATTTTGCTGGCGCTTTTATGACCTGGGGGCCGGCCTTTCTCTGCCTCTGGACTGGGCCGCACAAAGCCGGGCTAATCACAGAGCAGTTTCGGAAATGAGGGTCTAGAATGGAATTTCCTCCACACGCCCTCCGGTCTGCAGCCTCCCCCCTCCCCCCCCCAGCCACCCCCTCTGGAAGGCTCTGGGCCCCCGCTCTGCACAGGGCTGGAGAACAAAGGAACCGTTTCTCTGAATTTTCCCTGGAGCCCAGAGCGCCTTGGGTTGAACAAAAATTCAGTCCCAGCCGCTCTTCGGCTCGCTTCTCAGCACTAAGGCTGTCAGAAGAGAATAAATCAAGTGCTATGCGGACATCCCTGTGGGCGTAATACAAAAATGTATGTTGTAGCTGGGAGCCTGGCCCTCAGACAGCTTACTGTTCAGCTGGAATGTCATCCCTAATCAGAACGCAGGGGAGAAGTCAACTCAGTTCAAGACAGCCACCCAAGTGATGGTTTGACAGGCAGCCACAAGGTATAGGCCTTCAGAGTTCAGTGATTGTGAAGACAAGTCCTGTGATCTCACACCCACATGGAATTTAAGTAACAAAACAAACGAGCAGAGAAAAAGAAAAAGAGAGAGAACCCAAAAAACCAGACTCTTAACTCTAGAAAACAAACAGTTGGTCACCAGAGGGGAGGTGGGTGGGGGGTGGCACATGGGTGCCACACGTAAGAGCGACTAAGAGTGCACCTGTCGTGTTGAGCTCTGAGTGATACACAGAATTGTTGAATTGCTACATTATACACCTGAAATGAATGTAACCTATGCTAACTGCACTGGAATTAAAATAAAATAAGAGTTCAGTAATTGTTCAGTATTTGTTGAGCGTCTACACTGACAAGACGGGATCGCAAAGACCCTGTGGTGGTACCCTGTCTCAAGAGATGGCCGCCACTGCTTCTTTCCTTCCCAGAATGCACGCACCACACCCTCCTGGAGAGGCGAGGTCGATGTCTTCACCCCCTTGGGTCTGGGCAGGCCTATGGCTGCTTTAACAGATACCTGTGATGGAGGTTATGCTGTGCTGGTTAGTTCCACACCCACCTTTTAAGAAGATTGGCAATTTCTGCTTCTCTCTTAGAACCCAGTTGATAGGAAACCACATGGAAAGTCCAAACGGAAGATAATTTGGGCTCCAGGACTACAGCCCCAATTGAGTTTCTGCCGATAGCACCCCCTTGCCAGCCACATGAGGGAGCCATCTTGGAAATATGTCCTCTGGCTTCATCGACCCACCTCCGCTGATGCTACCTGATGCCACTGGCGGCAGACCTCCTGGTGGCAAAACCGAACACATCAATGACAGTTGTTGCATTCATTCATCTGCTTTGTTCTCACGACGATCTTTTAAAGAAGATGTTATTAGTATTATCCCCACTTTGTAGATAAGGGGCTGAGATGAAAGAGGGTAAGCAAATTATCCAAAATGGCCCAGCTAGCAAGAGGAGAAGTCGTGAGGGCCACCTGGGTGGCTCAGTCGGTTAAGCGTCCGTCTTCGGCTCAGGTCACAATATCACAGTTCATGGGTTCAAGCCCCGCATCAGGCTCTGTGCTGACAGCTCAGAGCCTGGAGCCTGTTTCGGATTCTGTGTCTCCCTCTCTCTCTGCCCCTCCCCCGCTCATGCTCTGTCTCTCTCTGTCTCAAAAATAAATTTAAAAACTATTAAAAATTTTTAAAAAAAGAGGAGAAGTTGCGAGAATATAGGATGTGTCTGGGGGTTGGTACATGTACTGCTCTGACAGGAGGCAGGGATGTCAAGTAGGAAGTTGTTTGATACAAAAAAACCCCAAGATGGTTGGGTTGGTCTTGAATGAAAGACGGACCTATGTGTTAGGATATGTTGCACTTAATTTAATAATGGCGATTTAAAAGTGGCCACTGAAGGCTTCCGGGGGGAGGTGACAGGATAAAAATAACTTAAGACGAGTGGTTGGACATAGGATAGTTTGAAGGGACAAGAGGCTGTCAGATGCCATCCATCACATCGTGTTGCAGGACATTTGCTCGTCTTGTGGACTCTCCCAGGACACGTTCCTCGCAATCCAAGGTTTTACTGTACATCCTCTAACACTGCTTTGTGGAACTGGAACAGAATCCAGAAAGAGGAGCTGGGTTTTAAGCCGAAATGGAAGGACTGGCAGAGACGTGGAGCCTGTGGCCTGCATCCTCAGTAGTTTGCCGGACTGAGTTCTCTGTCCGTCTTACACATATATGCGCACATCCGTGCACACATAGACCCGTGACATGCATTCCTAACACATACCCACGCCAGATAGCAGGTAGAAGTAGTACGTAATAGGGGTGTCTGGGTGGTTCAGTTGGTTGAGCGTCCGACTTCAGCTCATGTCATGATCTCACAGTTCATGGGTTCGAGCCCCAGGCCGGGCTCTATGCTGACAGCTCGGAGCCTGGAGCCTGTTTGGGATTCCATGTCTCCCTCTCTCTCTGACCCTCCCCGACTTGTGCTCTGTCTCTCTAAAAATAAAAATTAAAAAAAAAAGTAGTACATAATAAATAGTCATAAAAAGAGCAAACTGCCAAAACATTTCGTACAGAGAATAAAGGCTACGGGTGACATAGAGAGACAAGGTCACCGGCCCTGCAGCATCCAAAAGTCTTCTGGTAGAATCAGAAGGAGGACATTGCTGTAAGGCGAGGGTCCCGGGGCATGGAGGGGCTGTCGGAGGAAACATTTTCGCTGCCAGCACACGTTCTTCGAGAACGTGATTTTTAACGATCATGGGGAAGTCCATCTCATGACAACCGCGATTTATTACACAACATGCCCTGTACACTTTGTACGTTTATGTGGTTGATCATTTTGGCTTGTAAATAACACCAAAATGAAAGTCTCTGTAAATAAATTTTTGAAGGCATGTGAGTTTTCTTTGATGACAGATTCCTAGGGATGGAGTTAGTGGGCCGAAAGGTGATAATTTGAAAATATTCTTGATACTCATTGCCAGATCGCCTGCTGAAAGCACTGCCAATCCGGCCGTCGTCCAGCGGCGTGTAAAAGGCCCTTCCCGCCAGTCAGCTTGCCCGGGATGAAAAGAGGGCATAGTGTGGTGTGCGCTGTATGACCCTGTTTTAAAATGACACTTGTTTAAAGATAACCCGGGGGGCGCCTGGGTGGCTCAGCTGGTTAAGCATATGATCTCAGGGTTTGTGGGTTGAAACCTCACGTTGGACTCTGTGCTGACAACTGAGAGCCTGGAGCCTGCTTGGGATTCTGTGTCTTCCTCTCTCTCTGCCTTCCCCCACTCCCACTCTGTCTCCCTCTCTCTCTCTCTCTCTCAAAAATGAATAAACATTAAAAAAATAAAAGGAAACCCAAAATGCCTAACTCTGGGTGTTGGGGATTTAGAGGAGATGTATTTTCTTCTTTAAACTTTTCTGTATTATATAAATTTCCTAAGTAGTTTGTATATTCCTTATAACATTAGAAATGTTTTTAACATTTATTCATTTTTGAAAGAGAGAGAGACAGAGTGCGAGTGGGGGAGGGCAGAGAGAGAGAGGGAGACACAGAATCCCAAGCAGGCTCCAGGCTCCAGCCCAGAGCCCGACGCGGGGCTCCAACCCAGGAGCTCGGGACCACGACCTGAGCCGAAGTTGGACGCTTCGCTGACTGAGCCACCCAGGCGCCCCAAACCTTTTTTTTAAGTAGTGAAAGTAATATGTCAGGACAACTTTGCGATCCCAGGTTTCCTGCTGACAGCAGTTTGTCTGAAGCAGCTGATTAGGGGGCTCGGAGGGGTTCCTTCAATCACCTGGGGACTTAAAACCCCTTCCCTGGGGCACCCGGGTGGCTCAGTCGATTGAACAGCCAGCTCTTGGTTTCTGCTCAGGTCATGATCCCACAGTTCGTGAGTTTGAGCCCTGCATCCGGCTCCAGGCTGACACTGTGGAGCCTGCTTGGGATTCTCTCTCTCTCTCTCTGCACCTCCCCAGCTCTGTCTCTTTCTCTGTCTCTCTAGAAATAAAGAAATAAATAAATAAACTTAAAAAAAAATTAGGAACCCCCCGCTTCTCCTGAGTTCCACCTCAGACTGATGGAGTCTACATTTTCGGGTGGGGCGGGGCCGAGGTGTGGGTATTTTTTAAATTTTTTTTTTTAATGTTTTATTTATTTATAGGAGAGAGAGAGAGAGAGACAGCGGAGCAGGGGAGGGTCAGAGAGAGAGGGAGTCACAGACTGAAACAGGCTCCAGGCTCTGAGCTGGCTGTCAGCACAGAGCCCGACGCGGGGCTCGAACCCACGAACCGCGAGATCATGACCTAAGCGAAAGTTGGATGCTTAACCGACTAAGCCACCCAGGCGCCCCGATGTGGGTATTTTTTAAAGTGACCCACATACCCTGCATTAACTTGGGGGTGAACACCCCCCAAAACCGAGGGATCTAAGGGAGGCCTTGAAGGCCACGCCGAAGACGTCACGCCGGCCAGGTGGGACGGAGCACACCTTTACCTGTGTGTCTGCCACGCCTCGGCTGCAGGTACAGGGTGGCCTGATTCTTATCCACCAACGGCTGCAGACAGTGAGTCAGAACCAAACCAAACTGCCTCTCTCATCAGGGCCGCCGGCGCCTCCTTCATTCCTGGGAGATCAGACGGGGGAAGCCGGGCATCGGCGGGCTTTGGCCCTCCCTTCCTGTGTCAGGGAAGCAAAACTGGTGGTCTCTCCCTTTTGGGGGGGGGTTGTGTTGGAGAGAGAGAAGTGGGGGGGTGGACGGGAGAGAGCTAAGGCCGGGCCGTGAACTCCTGCTTCCTCCAGGCCAATGGAGAGCGGCCGCCTCATGTTGGCTGGGCTCCCAGCCTCCTCTGAAGCCTGGAGATTAGGGCAATTCAATGCCTTGCTCCTCTCTCGTTCTTTCTGTGGGGTGGGGGCTGGGCCTCCGCTGGTTCCCTCAGCAACAGGGCCCGGCTCCATTGTGAGGAGGGCCTGGGCGGGAAAGCGGCGGGGGAAGGAAGGGAGGAGCCGGGCCTTCCCTTCCCAGAGGTCACGGGGGGCTGTAGACACCCTAGAACCCTGGGTTCCAGGAGGGGAGGGGACCCTTGAGGGTCCTCGGTCCCTCCCAGGGTGGGGGAGGCCAGAGCCGAGCCTGTGGGCATAACAGAGCCCATTGTTAGGTGCTGGAGACCAGGGCAGAGGCAGGCTGGGCTACCCGCTGGGAGAGGAGGTGTTAGACAGAGTTCTAGCCTCTTTCCCTTCGATGACAAGGAGGGCGGGCCAGTCCCTGGCAAGCCCGCCTGGTGGCAGGCCTGGCCTTCAGCCTCGCATCTGGCATTTTCTGACCAGCCTTAGCCGTTCTTTTTAAGCATATTTATTTATTTTGAGAGAGAGCAGGGGTGGGGGAGAGAGAGAGGGACAGGGAGAATCCCAAGCAGGCTCCATCCGCCGTCAGCGCAAAGCGCGATGCGGGGCTCGAACCCACAAACCGTGAGATCATGATGTGAGCGGAAACCAAGAGTCAGAGGCGTAACCGAGCGAGCCACCCAGGCGGCCCTTCCCCTCTGTTTTGCTGTGATCCTGTCTGTCTCCCTGACCTCAAGCCTTGTCCAAGCCGGCCACTGCGTGTCCACCTCCCCCACATTCCCTCCTCCCCTTCCTTTGCACACACCTCACACACACCCACTGCAAAAAACACAGGATCTCCCGTTCCCTTTCCAGGTGCAATCTTCTGTCAGGACAATCAAGGCTCTGCTGGCCTCGAGCGGGTCAGGAAAGCCATCCAGGCCTAAGGACATTAGGGCACTTTGGGAAACAATCAGGGAGACTTCGGATGGGTTCTGTCACTAGTGATTGTTAGAGGTCTCGGTGCTTAAACACAAGAGCTTCCAGATCTGAGAAAACAGCCACTCTAGGGCGCCTGGGTGGCTCAGCTGGTTAAGCGTCTAACTTCGGCTCAGGTCATGATCTCAGGGTTTGTGAGTTCGAGCCCGGCGTCTGGCTCACTGCTGTCCGTGCAGAGCCTGCTTCGGATCCTCTGTCACCTTCTCTCTCTGCTGTCCCCCCCCAACCCCCACCCATCTCACATGCTCTCTCCCTCTCAAAAATAAATATTAAAAAAAACTCCCAAACTTAGCCACACTAAAAGTTTCCAGACCATACCCAAGGAATAAAATGTGACAATGTGATTAAATCCCATAGAAATAAGTGTCATTGGGGGCGCCCGGGTGGCTCAGTCGGCTAGGTGTCCAACTTCAGCTTGGGTCACGATCTCACAGTGCTTGAGTTCAAGGCCCATGTCTGGCTCTCTATTGACAGCTCAGAGCTTGAAGCCTGCTTCGGATTCTGTGTCTCCCTCTCTCTCTGCCCCTCCTTTGCTCTCTCTCTCTCTCAAAGATAAAGTTAAAAAACATTTTTTTTTAAAAAGAGAAAGAAGTGTCTTTTGCAGGGATACCTTGCTGTTTTCAGTAATCTCCCTGATGCTGTTTCCTTAGGGACCATTTCAACCTGGAGAGGATGGTAAGTAGGTGTCCTGTTAAGGACTAAGGAGACCCAGGCACCCGTTTCCTGAGGTGCCTCTGGCTGCCGACTGCAGCCCACCACAGAGGAACAGCACCCAGGGTCCAAAGGCCACAGCTGTGAACCCGACTCTGACCCCTCCCAGGGCCCGCTCTCCTCACCCCCACACGAATGAACCGAGCCCAGTTCCTTTCTCCCAGGGAGGGACAGGCACCCCGGGCCAGTGGGGCTTCTGCACGTGGGGCCGTTTCCACGATCAAGAAAATTCCCATGTGCTGAACACGGAGCACTGTGCCCGGGACACAGCAAGCACAGTAACACTGTCTTCGATGTTTCGGCCGTGGGAATGTGCCTGGGTTATCCCCATAGCTCACAATAACACAAGGATTGTCATTATCACAATTCACAGACACAGGGATGGAAGCTCAGGTAGGTTCCGCAGCTTGGTCACCCAGCATCACCCAGCCAGTTCGATGGAGCAGTGTGGATTTGAACTCAAACACTCAGCAACCCGAGGCGCCTGGGTGGCTCAGGCGGTTAAGTGTCCCACTCTTGGTTTGGGCTCAGGTCTTGATCTTCGTGAGATTGAGTCTTGCATTGGGCTCTGCCCTGACACTACGAAGTCTGCTTGGGATTGATTCTCTGTCTCCCTCCCTCTCTCTCTCTCTTAAAAATAAATTTATTTATAAGTTTATTTATATATAAATATATATAAATTTTATATATAAATTTATTTATATATAAATTTTTATTTATTTTTGAGAGAGAAAGAGAGAGTAAGAGAGCGAGAAGGGGAGGTGCAGATAAAGAGGGAGGGGGGAACAGAGGATCCAAAGTGGGCTCCACACTGACAGCAGTGAGCCCCATGCAGGGCTTGAACTCGTGAACCGTGAGATCGTGACCTGAGCCAAAGTCGGACGCTGAACCAGCTGAACCACCCAGGCGCCCCAATAAATAAATACACTTAAAAAAAACCACTCTGCAACTCGGGAGCTCTTTCCAAGGCAGCCACCGCCTCTCCCGCGTCATGACAGGTTTGTAAATGGTTTGCCTTCCCCGAGTCCTTAGCGGTTTGCCCCATGGAGAGGAGTCCATTATCCCAATGCGCCGGAAATCACTGCACCTAGTCCTTCAGGGGCAGCTTTGAATGCCTATTAAGCAGGTAGGGAAAGAACAAGATCAATGCAGCCAACACGACGTTTCTGAGGCCCCCGCGTGGGGTCCCAGGTTCTCGGTCAAGGCTGCGGTTTGAAGGCCTCTAAGGAGAACTGCTTCACACACAGACACAGGAGGCGGGGTTTCCCTGACTCGTGTGATTTTGGGGGAAGGGGACGGTTCCCTACAGATGTAGCATTTAGATCCAGATTGTCTGAAATGTGCCTGAAGAGCCAACACGAAACTATCCTTCTGAGGCCCCCATTCTGTTTAGGGTCCTGTCTTCAAACAAATAGGAGTGCTAGAAGGAAAGCACGGGCGGGGGCGCCTGGGGGGCTCGGTCGGTTAAGCATCCGACTTCAGTTCAGGTCATGGTCTCACGGTTTGTGGGTTCGAGCCCCGCGTCGGGCTCTGTGCTGACGGCTCAGAGCCTGTTTCAGATTCTGTGTCTCCCTCTCTCTCTGCCCCTCTCCACTCATTCTCTGTCTCTCAAAACTGAATAAATGCTAAAATAAATAAATAAATAAATAAATAAATAAATAAATAAAAGAAGGAAAGCACAGCAGTGCGGGGCCATCATCCCTCCTGGGCCTGGGGAGGGCCAGGGAACAGAGGGGACAAGGGCCTCGGTGTTTTTCCCAAGGCATCTGGGGAAGTATCTTTGATGTGTTATCTGTTTCGTGATCTGTGCTGGGTTTTCTTGCTCCTCTCTGCTAATTTTTGACCAAGAATGGAAAAGAGGGATGACAGAGGAGGGGGCGGGGGTTGAGCGGTGGCAGGGAGGGAGGTTGTCTCTCACCCAACACACACACACACACACACACACACACACACACACACACCCCACCCTCTGTAGCATTTTTAGAGAATAACAGTGCCACCTGGTGGCGATATATGTGCAAAGCCTCCTCTAAACCTTAGCTGAGAATACATTACGCAAGTTGTATTATTCTGTGCTTACTTGCTCTTGTTTTCTACCGTTGAAAGTCCCTCCTTACCCTCCCAGCTTTTTCTCAGAAAGTGAGCCAAACCATGAATGTGCTTCTGAGAAGTGCTGTAGAGCATTCCGGGAGGCCCTCGGGGCGAGAGAGACAACCCTCAGAAAAACAGCCTCCTGACAGAACTCTGAGTCCCTAGCATCTCATAACCCTGGCATCGTGCTTATTTGAAGAAGAGGCAATGGGCTCGAGAATAGGCTGGATCGCAGAAATTGATTCTGGCCACTGTCCAACACTATGCCTTAAAAAATCAAATTTGTCAACAGGCTCCTGGGTGTCTCAGTTGCTTAAGTGTCCAGCTTTGGCTCAGGTCATGATCTCACGGTTTGTGGGTTCGATCCCCGTGTTGGGATCTGTGCGACAGCTCAGAGCCTGGAGCCTGCTTCGGATTCTGTGTCTCCCTCTCTCTCTGACCCTCCCCTGCTTGTGCTCTGTCTGTCTCTCTCTCTCTCTCTCAAAAATAAATAAACATGAGAAAAAAAATCTGTAAATTACCAGAAGAGCAAGGAACCCTTTATTATCAATATCCTTCCTTCCTGCTTCTCTGACTCGAGCGCGGTCCCTCCAGCAGTGGCTCATCTCACTTTGCTGCACTTGTAAGAAATGTCATCCATTTGCAACACCCTGTTCCCGCCCCCCCCCACCCCCCATGCCCAGTGCAGGACACCACACAGCCAGCGGGGCTCTTACCGCAGCTGGTGACATTGGGGTAGATGTGAGCACATGGGGAGGGGGTTTGTTTTCTCTCCCAGGACTGCCGCGCACAGGTCACAGCTGATCTTTATCTCCTGAGGTCCACGAGATAGTGAACACCGTGAGCCGGGCTCCCTGCTTGGTACCTACATCACGAGTGTCCCGTACCTTTGGCTACGAACGCACTGGGAGGAACAGACCTACATGCGTGTGTGCAGCAAATATCTGTGACTCAGGAGCACTGCAGAGTTTTCAGTGCTTTGGGATTTTATTTATTTAAAAAATTTTTAGTGTTTATTTTTGAGAGAGACAGAACACGAGCAGGGGAGCTGGAGAGGTAGAGGGAGACACAGAATCCGAAGCAGGCTCCAGGCTCTGAGCTGCCGGCACGGATCCTGACGCGGGGCTCGAACTCACAAACTGTGAGATCATGACCTGAGCCGAAGTCGGTTGTTTCACCGACTGAGCCACCCGGTTGCCCCCACTGTTTTGGGATTTTGAACGGACTCCTGACAAGCCATCACAATCACTGCCTGTGAGCCT